ACACACACACACACACACACACACACACACACACACGGGCCTCAAAAATTTTATGGAAAATTGAGAAGATAATAGAAAATTTCTGTAAACTTTTGAAGTCCCCCGCCCACCCTGTGTGTGTGTGTGTGTGTTTCAGTGTGTGTGTGTGGATGTTTATTGGTGTTTTTTGAAAGATTATTGGAATTGTATTCAGAGATATTTTGAGTGCCTCCAAAAAGCCAAATTCTGTATTTGATAGCCTGGTCTTTTTTACAACAAGTCTTTTGCTAATCTTTATATTAATTTCAAAATCCTTGGCACCAAATGCCATGAAGCCGTGTTTAAAAAGCATCAGATCCACCCTCCGGACAGGTGAGCGAGTGCTGGATCCCTGGCGCTTCCCCACATCGTAGGTCTGTGGGGGAGGTCCTGTCTGTGCACAGGTCCAGAGCTGCATCCATGGGGTGACACAGGTAGGACTTGACGCTGGTCTTTGTGATGCCAAAGTCTAGGCTCTGTTCTCCCCTGCTGCCTCTTGATCCCCAGAAGGATCTTTAGGATGCTGTTTTGTGGCTCCTGGAGGCAATTTTGAGCAGCGATTTCAGAAATGCTTTGAGCCATGATAGCTGATTGGGAGCCAGTCATTTTTTCTAGTTCATTTCAGTGACCTGGGATTCATTTGCATATAAAAGCTCACTCAAACAAGAATTAGAATATTCTTCAACGTGTTGTACCGACCCATTGGCATCCGAATTATGAAGAGCTGGCATTGTACTTGGACCTGGGAAAGAGGGGGTGCCTCTGGAAGCCCCTTGCCTTGCACAGTCCTCCACAAATCACACTTTCTCATGAGACAAAGTGTCCCTGACCACAAGAGGACAAGTGCACTAGGAGCCACAACCCCTCTCCTGACCACTTCCCAGGTCCTCCGGAGCCCGAGGCCCACTAAACTTAGGATCATACAAGGATTTTCAGTCTCACCGAGTTAGCGCGTGTGGAGGGTCTGTCCACTCATCTCAGCACGAGAACCTTCCTGCTGTGGGGGGAGGGCTGGGAGCCTGACAAAGAGGGGGTTCTACAAAATTGAAGCCTGTGTCCCACTGGGCCTGACTTTCCAGTGTATAGTCAGTCAAGGGAGGGAGATTGCTTTGGGTCTAAGTCGCTGTCTGTACAGTCATCTAATGCCTGTGGAGCCCCCATCTCCTCTCTCAGACTTGCACCAGAAGCCTGGGAGGCGCAGCAGGGGAAAGGTGCATTTCAACCAGCCCCCGGGAGATTCTCCCTTGGGGAGACCAGAGTGCCCTAGAGTTGCTCCTCACATCCAAGTGAAAGTCGGTACTTCTTCGCAGGCTGGGGCTTCAGCATGGGGACCAGCTACCACTTCCACAGCTGGAGAGTGTTTGTCATCATCTGCGCTCTGCCCTGCACCGTGTCCATGGTGGCCCTGAAGTTCATGCCCGAGAGCCCACGCTTTCTGCTGGAGGTAAGTTGTGCCTTCACCATCTCTACGTGAGCAATCCAAACACCATCAAAAATCCGAGCTTTGCTTCTCTCTGCGCTCAGCTCAATGCCGGCACCTGTTGCCTCCCGGGTCACAGTGTCCCAGTGGTTGTCAAATCGGGGTGTGAAGGCTGCATAGGATGGACTGTCTAAGCTGGAGGGACTCAGGGGCTCCTTGGGCCCAGAGAGGGAGAGGCACTCCTTGAGGCTAGGCAGTGGGGGACGAGCACCTCCTCAGGCTGCTTCATGCCCCGAACTCTCCAGGGTCCTGATTAGGGAGCTCTGGGCAGCTCTGTGAGACTTTTCCATGCTGCAGTGAGGTCTGTTGTAAAGCTAGGTCCTCTTACCACTTTCATCACGTGCAGATTGGCAGGGTCCCTGCCTGCCGGAGAGCGGTCCTCGCTGTCCTGAGAACTGAATCTAGGAGCCTTCACACTTGAGTTCTTCACTGAGTGGTGCTAATTCCCTCTCCAGTCCCACTGACCAGGAGAGTGATACAGCAGGACATTGTCTACCCTTGTTTCCTTCAAAATCTATCTTTTGTTGCTTCTTTGCCTTTATCCTGTCAGTGAGGTATATCCTCCCACTCGCTTTCTGTGGAGCCCAGCAGTCAGTTCTACCATTTAACTGTGAATGGATCATCCTGGTTGTGTTAAGCTGGGTTAAGTAGAGAAACAAATCCAGTGACACTCATATATGTGCAAGAGAGAGCTTTGTACCAAGAAGTAGTTATATATTAAGTAAAACTCCCAGCCCAGTTTAGATCAAGTCCATAAGTGGGATACTAGTCCATAAGTCC